TGCAAACATTATATCATAATAAATAGCTACACATTTCCTCAAAGTATTTAGTTTTTACCTTATTGACAGAATCATCAAATTACCCGCTGAGTGATGTGGCGCCAGAAACAGTTCTGGGTCTGAGACGTCTCAGACTTCATCAGCATCTTGTCGACAGTGGCAGTGTAGGAAAGCAGCATGTCAACAGCTGGCTGTCTATTTAGGCCATATTTTGTCCATTTCAATGGAAAATAGACTTGGGCTAACTTTGAGTCATAGCTGTACACATAAAGCACGTGAAATCCATGCCATAGACAGCTTTACTACTTTCTTGTTGTTATCAAATCCTGATGCCTGCATTATCCACAATCCGACCCAACTGCCACTAGTTCAGTTAAAGATTATGGTATGTAATTGTTTTTCTGACTAATGTGGCCTTGAACACTAGGTTCCAGCAGATAATAGGCGAGTTATAACATTTTCAGTAGCTTCCTTTGAAGCCACAGAGGCATTGTACTGTACGTGTTTTTCCTACCTCTGAAGTAGTACTCCGCAAGACATGTAAACAGGCACTGATGTGTAAAATTGCGAGTTCCCCTTTAAATAAAAATTCTAGTTTGCCAACATGCTATTTAAAGACCTTTCCAAAACAACCTTCAAACACTATTTAGTAATCAGAAGCCTCTAAACAGTTCATTTAATAAGCTGCACCCACTGAATTATCATGTAACCACAACAGGTTGAAAAATGAAGAAGCCAGATTCTTGCAAGCTAAAGTGTTGCAGTAATTCAACAAGTACTGTATATTGTTATGAGAGTTTGATGATGGCTGCAGCTGTAAAATGCTTTGACTCTTGGCATTTCATTTTAATAAGAAAAAGCTCTGCACTTACAGGAGAGCAGCCTGCTGCTACTGTGTTGCTCATTTTTGACAAATTGTTTTAATCAATTAAATCATTTCTCCCAGTCGAGGTGGTGGGTGAATTCTTTCACTGACGTATTTTTATGTAGGTGGAAGCTTAACCTCCACATTATATGATCTGTTCAAGGCAATTAATAAGAGGCGATGGCTTTGTATGGTGGAACCTTGCCAGTGCTCGGAGCCCAGGTGACCAGAGGCATTTCTCACAAGTAAGGTCACTGAACAGTCAGAGCCAAACAGTAAAGCAAACTGTGACAAGTCTGCATCCTTTATATGTCATTACCAAGCTGTGTTGAAAAAAATTAAGACCGCCTACAATGAAAATGCCACTTAAACTTTGACAGATTAACAGCCGCTATGAAAAGGTACTTTTCCAAAAATGTTTCAGATGTCACAAAGTGATGGTGACATTCTGTGTAAGCGCTCCTCTGAGTGGATGTGAAAACCTTTTCATAGCCTGAATCTAAACCAGCCAATTCTGTTATATCACTAGCTTTCTGCAGAGGTTTTTAACCCTGGAAAATGTCATGTTTCATCCAGGAATAATGTTGACAAAGGCAGCATTATACTAAAGTGTTCCAGTGGGAGCCTTACAGCTGATGGTTCTATCACTACACTGTTACTCAGCTTGTAATTAGATGTTGGGGGAGGAAAAAAAACCTACTCTCTTCAGTATGTGTTATAAATGAGCACACTTGTGATGACTGAATAGAAAATTTTAAGATCACACAGGGGAAAAGGGAAGATTGGTTTGTATTTGATAATTAAGCTGTAGCATTTCAAAACACACCAGAGACTGTCCACGGTTGGATGAAACTTCCTTCTCTCCTACAGTGGGGAAACCTATCAAACAGAATCAAATTTTAGCCATTGTTCTTTCTCTTTTTAGACTAGTTTGTCTGAAGGTCAAACTATTATGGTGGTAAATGTGTGAGAAAACTAACAGAAAATACTTGCATTAGGATTTTTCTACAGTATAACTGTATCAAGCGCCCCTGCAGAACAGCCGCCCCACATTAAAATCCCATAACGCCCCACGGCGGAAGCTTAAATGTAAAAATATAAGGCATTTAAAGTGCCTTTAATTGCATCTGACATGAGCCCAGTTTGTGATGCAACAAGTTCAGAGGTGTATGCAGTAAACAAAATGTAGTGTGCCTCCTGATCATAGTTAATTAATGAATCCTAACACACAGTGGAACTTGTCTACTGCCAGTGCTACCAGCCAAGAGCCAATCACTGTTGGTGGCGGTAGAGAAGCAGTTCACAAGTAGCTGACTTGGCTAGCATTAACATCAATGAAGCATCTGAATTATTAAAATTTACAGCATGCAGGTTGCATTGTGGTGTGTCCTACTCTGCTCACAAGCACTCTGGGTGGCTAAGTCTCCTACACAACCAACAGCTGAATGAAAATCCTATCACTCGATCTTGATTTGACTAAACAGATTGGACTGAAAAATACAGTAGATTTCTGCTGACTTGTTGCTAGTTCCCTGAAGGACTGTTGGTGCTGACATTCCTGTGAAGACGTACTGTTTGGATGCCTTGGGTTGAAGACACTGTGCAGAATGTTAGTGTGTGTTCATGTGGGCAATTTTTGTGTGTACAAATGTGTTTGTGTACGTGCATGCATGTGCCAGAGTGTGGTCTTTTGACGCCTCTGACCTTCATATCCCCTGGGCATGCCGGCAGCTATTTATCTTTTAGTCATTCTGCCATTTATGACCAAGGCAGCTTCTCTGGCACTGACGTCTGTCAAAACAGACCCTGTCCCATGATATGCAGCAGGTTGCAGCCTGAATGGCCTGCGGTCTAACAGCTGATGCAGTGTGCAGGGTAAAAATGAAATGTGCTTCCCAAGAATTCACCAGCCTCCAGTTTTGTTTTTCTGTTTTTTTAATCTGCTATCTTACCAGCTGCCACTATTGTAGTTCACACCCTGCTAGTTGCAGGAAGCTTCAGACTGAGTGTGCAGCTCTGATGTCTGTCAACAACTCAGTTTAGCTCTATGGCAGTTGTACCTGCTAAAACGAACTGAAGCATTATGTGTAATGTTTTCCACCTGGCTATGTAAACTTTTGGTTATTATTAGAAAATAAAGAACTCCCAGAGACAATATCTTTAAATGTAGCATACACAGATGGATGACCAGTTAAAGAAAAAAACAACATGGAGCCTTATGTCTCTAAAGTCTGCTGGAAGAATAACCACCTTTCTTCCAAAAGACATTTTTTTGTTTGGTGTTTTGATGATTGTGGCGGAAATCACTAATATGTCAATCCAAAATCTCCCTATCTCTCTGTGCGTCCTTTTGTGTAGACAGCTGATGACTCGTACCACATGAATCACATCATTGTCATACTCATCAAATCATTCACTTCACCCCTTGTGCCCTGCATAGAGAGGGATGCGCCAGTACAATCCCTATTAACCTTCTGTTATTATTACTGCAGCATCCCTGGCCTCATTTTACCTTACATAAAATAATTCTACTGAGTTCCATGCAGAGATGTCTATAGGTTTTAAATCTGGAGAAAGGAGGGCACTCGTATCTGAATGATACTCTGTACTGCAAAAGGTCCTTAGTTTGAAGCACTGTAATCAGTTCTGGTAGAGAAAAACTTATATTGGTGCATTTAAGAAGCATTTGTTGTGTTTATTTTAGTTTTTTCTCTTTGTTTTGTCACCGATATGAAGCTAAAAGTCTCTGGGACAATTCTTATTAAACCATTCTCAATTTATTTACATTTTCTTGTTCATACAAAGTCTTTCTCTACAGCTGGCAGAAGTGAACATAAATCTTGTCATAAAGCCTTATGTGTTTCAAAGTTTAAACCAAGAACAACTCAAATATGCAGCAGTTGAACCTTTTCTAGTGGCAACACTAAATATCTCAATGCCAGGGAACAAAGTTTTCTCACCTTGCATTTTTGCCAGGCCACACAGTAGAGGGATGAATATGAAAAGGACTTGAGAGCCTCTCTGGAAACCCACTGATTTTGATGGTAGATTGTTAGATGTTCTTTTGAGCCTCTTGTACCCAAATGATGCTTAGCGTTGCCCTTACACCAAGTAGCTCCTGTAAATGCTTATTGATTGTTCAAGTTGATTTACTGAAGAAATGCTAAAGAAATTTATGACAACCAGTGGCATCCAGTATCCTCATTGGCTTCTCGGGTTGCTCCGATTCTGCTTAACTAGCCAACACCTGCTGGCGAGCACCTAGTTCTGCTGAGTGTAGATCTCATTACTGCGCTCATCCCCAGTAAAGTTAATTTGTCTCACAGAAGATGCCATGTAGCAGCTATTTTATATTTTTCCCGAGAAGGTGATCACACTGTAGTATGTGGCAGAGATGTCACCTTCCTCCCCTCAGCACACAACAAAGTATTTCTTGTGGGCTGCTTGACATCAGCTAATATAACTGTTATTAGAGGAGAAACACTTCCAGACAACAATGAGAAGTTGATATGACGTGTCAGCCTCTAGTTCTACTCATTATTTTCTCTTTGCCTCAACTCTGCTCTGCTAAAACTTTCATGTATTTGACTTTTTTATTTAGAGTCTTTGATGGCAGATTGTAAATACAACACCCTCATGTTTTCTGTTGCTGTCAAGGTTGGCTCCTGACACCTGTGTGATGGATTTGTTCGTCTGTTTCTTTGTGTTGATGGCACAGCCGCTTTCTTAGTTTGAGGCAGTGAATTTCTGCGCGACTGTCACTGTTTGCACTCACCCTCAGGAAAATAATCCTTAGGTTTTGTTGATGTGATTTGACAATCACAGACGTACTCAGGATTTGGTTTTGCTGAATATAAAAAAAAACTTATTGTTTAATAATGTGAATCTTCAGGGGGATTCTTGTTTTCACAGACACTAATTGGCTGAGATTTGAAACATTGCATCCACTTTTAGGAAGTTCAGTGCTTTGAATCTTTTTTTCCCTACCACCTGGAAATCATCGTTATTTTTTTAGCATTAAAATAATTTTTTAATTATCTGAACAAAGCAAACATATACTTTCCTAATAGCTCTTATAGTATATGTTATTCATTTTTTCTTTATTCCTAACTATTCTGCTTATTTTCCCCCCCAGATGATAACTGCAGACTGAGTGACTACCATCGGCTGAAAACCAAGATTCTGGATCTGCATGACAAACAGTACGTGGGCTCTAACATCCACGGAGCCCACAAGGACAACATGACTGCCAGGAAGCAACTGGTTGATATGATGTTCAAACACTTTGACGCAGATAATAGCGGTCAAATAGATGCCAGCGAGCTCTCACAGGTAAGGATATTGGACAAAATGAGATATTCACCAAGTAAAAACACAGTACATACTTCACTCCATCAAACACTGGCATGAAGGTAAAATGTAACATCTTAACCTTGGATCAAGCGCTCACTGAACTCTAGCTTGTCAAAAACGTTTTCAGACAAAGAGCAAAAATCTGCTTACCCCTTAACTGTGTCAAAACCACTGAGTCCTTTTTATCTAAATATCTAATCAAAAGGAGACTACAAATGAACAAATGCCTGTGCACGTCGGTGTTTAAACTAACCACTTTGAAGGCTGCCATAATTGTCCGTTTCACTCCTCTCACCCTTCTCTCTGGTAGCTATAACATGCAGCTCTGAGTAAATCTTTTGAAAAGCGATGTGGGTCAAAGGAGCTGTGTGCTAACGGGAGGCTGCAGCCTTTTGCCAGTGTTGCCAGGAGGACTGCTTGTGAAAAAGAGCTTTTTTGGCTCCCATGAGGAAGGAAGATATTCTGTGCATAACAAATAAAGCCTCCCATTACCTGAGGATTGGTTTAATATAGTACTGTAAATATCTGAATAAGTGAAAAGGTAAGCAACCTGTGGTGTTTTTCAGAACAGTGGTACCAGTTGCTGTTCTTAGGTCAGTTTCCTACTGATTCAGTAGGATACACCATCTGTATAGGGGTCACCTTCGGTAGCTCTGTCAGGGCCTCCCTGCCTGACAGGAAAGGTTTTAATTTGAATATATTTTAGTGTTTTGAATTTGGCGCATCTAAAACTTGCCCGGAAAATAGTAATCATTTTGGCATATTCTCATATTATTTACATATTTTTGCATGTTTTTACATTTACTCCATGGCAACATGAGAGAAACTGGTGTTCAGTGAGTGAAATGCATAGTCAACAAACTGTGCGCTGTGTTTTATGGAATAATATTGTCAGTGTGCCTTGAGTGTGAAGTGAATATTACTGTGGACGGATTTTCAAGCGTCTTGTGTTGCATTTATTCTATTTCAGGCCAAGCTATACCAGTCTGCCTCTCCCTAGGTGTATGAATGACAAAAGCAAGTCAGTAATAATTAACATCCAGCTGGAGAAGCTCTTTTTAGGGGGTCCTCAAGGGCTACTTCCAGCCCCTTTTTATCCTTGACACATATGGGACTGTTGGCAGTTTTCACACAGTGTCCACTACACAAGACACATTCTCAGAGCATTTCGGGAATAGTTAGAAATTAAAATATCGGTGGATTGCAGGTGGACCTTATGGGATTGTCAGCTGAATCCTAAGGGTTTTGTTTGTTTGTTTTGTTTTTTACATTCATGCATACATTTGTGACTCTCTTTGGCTTTGAGGTAATTGTGTATAAATGCTGGCTTTCTGAATTGATTAGAAAGCTTCAAAAAAAATCTGTGCACATCTACAGTATAAAAATATAATGAAAAGCTTCTGCATACTTTCATCTCACATCAAAATTACTTCATGATAAATAGATAAACAGCTTTGCTAATCTGAATTAGCACTTAATAAGCAAAGGCAGCTGGTGGATGACAGTGTCTCATCATAAGGGCACATGAATGTCACTATGGACTGGACCTTTAATCAGGTTTTATTTTGGCATATTATATGACCTATCAGGATTTAATTTCAGACTAATTAATAGCTTAGAATTAATAACTACAATTTTATTTTTTCCCCAAGGCATTTTAATATACACTATTCATAAAGGGTCAGATTCATTTAGATTGCATTGTCAGGGGAATCTAAAAGTTTTCTTATCCTGACATGTTTGAGCTAGAAGTGCAACATTTTTTTTATGATGAAAGAACAAAACCAAAGAGTCGTGCAAATTAAACTTTGATGTGAAAAAGCCCTCAAGACCCAGCACAAGCAAATCACACTCTTATCAGTAGTTGAAAGTACAGAACCATAGCTGTCGCCGTCCTGCCCTAAAGCACCCCTCTTAATAGGAGCATTCTGATCTCAATTGAAATTCTAGGACAGAAGCCCCACACCCTGGCTTATTTGACTTGCTAGAATATGTGCACAAAAGGGGCACAGGGAGCAGCTGCCCCTGGCCTTTTAGTCTTGGGTGCCATTTTAAAATGGCAAATCAAAATAGTTTTTTCTTCATGCAGTGCTCGTTTCCATCATTTAACCAGACAGAATTCAGAAGACAGAATGACTGAAATGATTCCATTTACCAAAAACAAGAGAAGTTAGTTATCTGTTCACCATGAATCCAGCTCTGGCTTTGTCTACACTTGGAGGATGCAACTGGTCAGACTCGAACACATATGAGCAATTTGACAAAAATTGTCTTGTTGTAAACAGAGGTTGTTGTTTTTTTTTTTTTTAAATTACAATCAATGTCGGGTTTGTCATAGCGTTTTGGAGGGATTACTCTTTTTGTACTGTCACAGCCAGAAAGTGTTGAGCAGGTCTGGAAAGCATTTGGTTAGGTTTAATGAATGTGAAATTCTTTTGAACTACTCAGGGTTTTTTTTTTTTTAAAGAGGAACAGCCACAGCTGTCTAACGCATGCTTATCATTGCTAATCAGGGCATAGTGGTTTTTACTATACACAGGTACGGTGCTGTTTTCTCTTTCTTTTCCAGGAAAACCAAGTTAAATTGGATGAGGAGGAGACAAAACTTTTAAACAATTTTTGAATTGGTAGGGAAGTGATGCATAAATTATTATGGTGGTGAGTGAAGAGCATACAGAACAAAAAGATAAAAACATGTTTATAATGTTAGAAAGCTTCTCTTGAAGGTTGAACAGAAGAATAAAACTAAACTCAGTAACACTGCCTGGTCAGAGTCATGTGGATATGTGTAGGATTGGTGTTCTGCTAGTGAAGAACAGCTGTATGCAGATGTGACCTTGCTAACAGCCTTTGAAAGTAGGCCAGTGCTCAGTACTGTGCTTTCAGATACATTTGTTCACATGCTGCTATGCTACACAATTACTGTATTACCAGAATGGGTCCGGTGCGATTACTGAAATAAGTCTATAATGCTATAAAGTAATAAAAACTTAGTGTAACTGCTAATTGTGCAAAAGATTGTGTTCTATCTGACTAACCAGCCAGTGTTCCATTGTGGCTTTAAATTAGGCTTCGATTTAAAACTGGCAGAAGCTTTATTCTCAATCAGCTTTATTGCTGGTTATCCCATCAGTGGTCTGTTTAGCTCACAGGCTCTGCTGAAAGCCAGTGAACATGTCTGTGGTCCTCTTTTTATTATTATTATTTTTTGCTATGGTCGAAAAATGACCTGCTACAGAGGTGTGAGTGCAAAATTGTGATATAACCACTGGGACCAGAGTCTGTATATGTAGGGAGTTAGGCTATGGTATGAAACAGTTAAGCAATGTGGTTAAAGCAGGCGTTCAATTCTCTCAAAGGCCCTCTGCGTTAAATGTGTGTGGCATTTTAAATGATCACTTACATTTATATTTGTTAGCTTACTTTTGCTTAGGTTTATACTATACTCTATTATAAAACACAAGCAAAACAGAAAAAAATCAAGGAAAGTAACAAGCAACTGTTTTATTGTGTAAACTACTATTTAGTGCTTCTAGGTTTCTAGACTAAAGATGCACCATTGCTGGTGACTCTTAAAATTTGGAAAAGTCATCTGGGAACGGAAGTGCACTGATCCGACAGACAAGGCATGATGTATAAAGCCGCCTCTTGTGATCAGCGTTTTGACAGCTGATCTAGTGTGATGGATGTTTTACTGCTAGGGCCATGCAGAGGGTGTTGAATAGGATCATGCTTTAGCAGGATGATGATGGACCTGCACAGCGGTTGAGACCTTTCCAGCATCCGCTGTGACAAAACTTCAGTGAGTCTCAGTTTGGCTGTGATAACCTGACAGCTAAAATTATGTTTCATCAATTTTGACATTCAACACAGAGCTTCTAATTGAGCTGGGAATGTTGAATCGTCACATAAATTGTCCAAACCTCTTAAATAGCAGAATAAGAGTTTAATCTTTTTGACCAAAGTCATGTCTCATATTTAAAGTCAATGAACCTTTTCTGTAATAAACCAAACAATGATCTTTCTGTACACTTAACCAAGAGCTGTCAGTGCCTGAACATAGCCATTAAAAAATTTGTAATAATTTTGTAATTGTTACTAGTAGATATTGAATTACAATATCAGATATTTAGGTATCTACTGTAATGTTGAGTTACCTCGTTATTTTAATACAAAGCATAAAGTACGTTGTGGCGACATTATATGTCCTGCAAATTATATTTATAAGTTAGTTGTATATACATCACATCAGTGGTTTTTATATATAAATCTCTCCTTGGGCTGTTCCCCTCTTATTTATGTACATGCATGTGTAAAAACCAAAATCAATATCTACTACGCTGTATTTTATAGATGTCGTCCCCATAGTTGGAACAGAATTTGGCAAAAAAAAAGCTTTTAAATATGCTGCTTCCTGGAATAATGTACAGAAGGACCTGAAATTATCAGAACTGATTGCTATGAGGTAATTTAAGTCATTTTTAGAAGACCAAGAAAACAGTGCTATTGGCTAGTGTGATTGTTCATTGTTTGTGCTTGCTTTTGCATCTACACTGTATTTGGGTTTTTTTATATAACAGCTGGATGCCAGTTGTATTTGTTTGTTTGTACTGTTTGTGTTTACCATTGTAACAATCTGCTGTTGTAACCACTGCTGCCCTCTTGGCCAGGTCACTCTTGATAAAGAGATTTTAATCTTAATGAGGCTTCACCTGGTTAATAAAAGGATACATTAAAAAAAATAAAATGTAAAAAAGTACTTCTTAAACCAAATGCCACTGCATTTTCATTGAAGGTAATCAAGCAAGAAGGTCTGTCCAAGGGCTTCTCCGAGTGCACATTGTTCGACCTATTGAAGTACAACGATGTCAATAATGATGAGCGCCTGACAAAAGAGGAGTTTTACACAGCTTTTGGTGAGTACAACATTTTGTTTTTCTAAAATAAAAAAAACCTATTCCAAGTTTTCAAACTAAAAAAAAAAAAAATGACGGCACTACCACTGAAGGTTTTGGTTGCATATATGTTCATACCCTCATTTTCCATTTACATTATCTGAGAAAACATGGGTTATGTGTACTGTAGCAAAACAATTTCTCATCCACAGAGTCTCAGTCAGTAATTTTTAATACCTCTTTATATTTTTGTTTCTTTCTTGAAGTTGATTGTTCACATCATCTTAGTGCATATACATTGACACAGGAGCAGCATCATTTTTTTCATCAGTTAATTATAATTTTCTTAAACAGCATCGCAATACTCATAATCAACATGCAACAGAAATGGAAACTTGAAACCATAGAAACTGCATGAATTGGTTAAGCTCATTGCATCATTAGTTTATATATATATATATGTGTGTGTGTGTGTGTATGTGTATATATATATATACACACACACACATTTCATTCTGTTAGTACTCACAGTATCACTTCCTACTGATTTATTTTGAAAGCATAAAATATAAGATGTCTTAAAATGTACAAACCGCATTTTGACTGTGTGCTACTTTGAAATGTGAAAAGAAACTAGTTCTTCACATCTGAACTGTCAGACTGTTGCATTTCCTTGGAAACATGAGTCATTACAAAGTGATCATGAAAAACTGGGAATAGTGTTTGATATCTCACCAAGGGTTTATTTAGTCTGAGCTCTAGACTGTTGCCAACTGTGTTGTCAGTCTTCAAATTGTTTACTGGGTAGGAGTTGGTGCCAAAGGAAGCAGGTCACATTTACTGCAAAACAGTAGTTCAAACCTAATCCTCCTCCTCGTTAGGCAACATAATGATGGGTCTGAGTCATATCAACGCATCAGTTTCCTCTTCCTGCTCTCTTTCATGGTTCCTACTTGTCTGACATTTTCAGTTAGCTCAAAATCCTTTGACAGACTATCCTCTGACATTTGGCTGGCTCGACACATTTAGCAGCGGGAGAGACTTCATAATCAGCATTCACTCATCGGCCCTTTCTTTATTTAAAGCATTTCTTAAACAGAAATAAAGTCACGAGAGTGAATGGCACAGTCTCATGTTGTCTGCTGTTCTCCACATCATACGTGAATGTGTGGGAGCAAACCCCTTCTAGCAAGTCAGGAAAAGAAAGGAACCCCAGCTAAACTGGGGAGCGGTGTGTTTCCTTGAGTTGCTCTGACTCCAGCTACTTCCTCTTCAGCTCTCAGATCTTCCAGCTGAACTCTTCACAAGGAAATGGGATATTTTATGCAAGTAAATCTCTCCCTCTGTGGTGGTTTCTTTCAACCTGCCTCACTCCTCTCTTTGACTTTGTTTCCATTCTTTTTCTTTTGTGCCACCTAATGTTATTTAACAGCAGTGGAGAGCTATTCAGGTATATAAATGATTCAACTCTTGACTGGAAATTGGTCACATATTGGTGAATATTAGTGTTTTTCAAAACTCCGACTGACTCAAGATATCCATTCTGTCTCCTGGAGTGTTTGAAACCATTTCCACTTCTGTTCAACCAATATTGAATTGATATGAGTGTTTTACATATTTGGAGGTCACTGTGGTTCTCACTTGGTGTCTTCTTTATTTTATTCACATTAAATCGGCTAAATGCTTTGGTACTTAAGGCCCCACTATACCTGTGAGACAGCTGAGAAAGAGAGATAAATAGTAAGGTCACAAATTCCCCTTCTCTGTAGACTAACTACACTACTGAACATTTCATTTCACCTAATTTCAATAGAAGTCTATTCATCTAACCAAGGTAGATAACACCTTGGTGCAAAGGAGCAGATGCATTAAAGCTTTTTGACAGCTTGATATTTTTCAAAATAGTATGGCCTGTGATGTGGTCATAGGAAACAAACATGGCTAGATATAAATGTAGATTCGACAGGAAAACAAAACAAACGTATCAGATATCAGAGTCTGTGAACGCTACATAGAGCTGTAGACTCTAGTTCTCAGTGGATTCAACATTCCAAGCAGATATTTCATATTATGAGGAGCCATTTTATTCAAAGTTCATACACTATGACCTTTTGCTCCCCTCGAGGAAGTGCTCAACAAGACGAGTGCTCACCAACACAGAATTTAAATAGGTTTTCACTGGTCAAAAATCGTGGACCCAGTCCAAAAATGAACCTGTGGAGAATGTACCCAAACATACAGTATATGTCAAAACTGGCATTTAATAGCATAAACCGTATAGGTTTCTGGTTTTCCTTGAATAAGCTTTGCTTTAGTTCCCTGGACAGAATAAAGCTTCAGCGATATGTGTGTGCAGTCCAGATGTCAAAACACACCGTTTTCTTCCGGGTTGACTGAGGTGTACCACGTGATCAGAGCTGACACTATGTACACTTGGGTTCATTCAGGTGTTGGACATATTGTCACACAGACCCAACACCCTATTCAATGTTATTATGCTGAATAGAATTTGAACCCGGTCCAACTCAGTTCCTCAGAACCATATGATCCATTGAGGAAAACTTATAATTTCAGCTCCTCTTATCCTGTATTGCATTAGGCACAATGCTCTGACACTCAACATCAACTATAAGTCACATTAGGACAGAAATGCTAATTGGAAAACATTACTGTTTTATGATGCTATTGTATTGACTAAAAAAAACACCAGTTCAGTTTTACCGAGTGTGCCTTTTTTATTATATTGCTCTTAGCATTTTCCATATACTTGTATAAAACAATTCTATAACGTATCACATGGAGCTGTATCTTTTTTTCTTTAACTGTTTTTGTTTAAATCTGAGTGGTCTGGTGTACAGCTGGTGATAAAATACAATTAAAACCATTTTCAGTAATAGCCTTGAACATTTTCAGTACTTCACTGGTTTCTAGGTTGCAGATGTAGCTATGGGATCCATGGACTTATTGACCTCGTAGACCACGGTCACAGCGCCTGCAGCAAAAATACATGGCAAAGTTATGATGTTGAGTTCACTGCCAACATAAACTGCAAGTAGCAGCTATAAAAGTCTATGCAAATACCTTAAGCGCTCTCGTAAACTGAGCAGCATCATAAAGTAAATCCATTGATCTAGTGTGTCCAGAGTTATATTGCGACATGAAAATGAAGAGCAGTAAATGCAGAATGACTCCCCATGAAAACTGCACCTGTTGGACTGTTCTGCTAATAAGGACCCTTTGGACACCTTTGTGGAATACTCAAAGTGTGGCAACATTGTTTGTCAGGACAGAAGATAAGACTTTAATTTCCATGCATTATTCATTCCTTCTTTGCATAGACTAGAAGGGGTTGAGAATCAATTTGCTTCAGCTAGCAGTAAGGAAACTGTCTAGCAGAAGTGGTGTCTTTTAATTAGATGTTACAGATATGAATGATGCCTTCTTGCTACTGATAGTCAGCCCCCTTGTCATCGTTGAATAATTTGTGAATGATGGCCCAGTGCATCATGGGTAAACATAAGGTGCCATCTATCATAAAGTGTCATTAACATTTGGCAGGAGTATTACAGTACACTGGAGCATTGACTGGCAGACGTTAACACCAACTATATGAAATTGAATCGTCATTTTACACAGAAATGACACGAGGAATCCTACAGTATAACAGCTACAGAAGTGACCTTGAATGTACTGTACTTCACTCCAAGTACATACAAATGTTTTGTGCACTACATATCACAGATACCCTATATACAGGGTGGGTGAAAAGTAACTAGGCATTAAAAATTTGCTATAGAACTTGTATCACTGGAGTTGTGATGAAAACAGTCTCTAAATAAAAAATTTCATATGAAATATGATTTCATTTCATATGAATTTGGTATTTGAATGATTGAATTTGATTTATTGATTCACCAATCACTGAATTTGATTCATATGAAATAAGATTTCATGTATAATCCTATTTACTGTTTTCATCATGACTCCAGTGATGCTACAAGTTCTATAGCCAGTTTTTAATGCCTAGTTACTTTTCACCCACCCTGTAGTCTGCAAGCACCACTATGAGCTTTGGTATATAAAGTAGCTGCAGTAGCTAGTCATGCTGTGCACCAGTTTGATTCAAGTTTATTACCACTTACACACATATGAAATGTTGTTTCTCACGGACCACAGTGCAGCATAGAACAGAAATTAAGGGCCTGTATAAAAAAACAAAATAATTATAGACTAAAACTAAAAAAACTGTAGCACATACAAGCACTGCAGAGGGCTAGGAGTGAACAACTTGAACAAGACCCAGTGGGTTTCCTCCTGTTGTAGCAAACTTGACATACTGGTGGAATTTTGGCAAAAACTGTTTTTACATTTGCATCATTGAGATCACCAGCAATGATAAAATATCTTGCTTTGCCTGTGTCTCCTAATTGCTCAGGGTAAACTGCTGCAAGAGCTACAGCAATGAACTTGTTTGATATTATGTATGACACTTCATGATCTATTCTGCATTAATGCTGCATCTAACAACTTCCCTCAATGTCACAGCCCGAGAAAACATTTATTATATTTCATAAGATTGAAATTATCATGCATTTCCAATGTATTTATTGAATTTTCAACATATAGATACATTCCTTAACCTGCATCCTCACCACTAAATACAGTGAAGTAGAGAAAGGAGAGAAGAATTGCTAAGAGTTAACAGGCTAGTTTCCAGAGCATTAACTGAAAAGCCTGAAAGCTTAAAGAGCAAACCTTGTGTACATTTTATAGATGAAACAAAAGTGCAGCATTAGTTCAGAAAGCATGTAGTGATACAGGTGCACTTAACAGATTTAACATGTCTTTTCCTTGGTTTTCTCTGGAGTTGTACACTCTGGCAAAACAGGACAGGAGGCAGGTGTGTCGTCTACAACAGACCGGTTAGTGTGATCACTGCCAGATAAACTTAGGAAAAGGTCATGCTCAAGGTCTGCCACAAATAATATCACTGCTTGAATCAAAGGAGGAGTCTGGCACTT